TAAAGTTAGTTAAACAAATTCAAATTTATACTTATGGATTTAGTAGTCAATTTTGTAGTTTTTTTTTACGAAAACATATAATTCCATAAATTTAATAAACTTAATTTATTAATGAATTTTTTACTAATAATTCCATAATTAAAAATATAAATCAATATTTGTCATACCATTAATGAATAAATTTTCGAAAATAATTAGATAAAGAATTTTCTGTAATTAGTAATAAGAAATGAATAAACAATTAGAATTAAGTTTAAAATTATTATTTATTTATAATATATATATCATCCTATTTACATCTACAATTTTTCTAACAAACATTGTTGTTTTTCAGATTTGGATAAAAACTTTTTGATCTTAGCGATAATAGCTTCCAATTTCGATGATTTCTTCTCATGTTGAATTTCCTTCTTCGTTGCAATATTTTTCCTGTTACTTGCTTTGATAGCTTTCTGCATCCTCCTCGGAGATGATTGGACAGTGCACCTTCTCATAGCGTAACATTCAAGTCTAAACATCTTGGTTATTAAGACAAACTTCTTCAGCTGCGTGTATTAAAATATTCAAATGTAATTCTCGAATGCTCGAATCGAACTGTTTGATGTTAGGGAAGAAACATCAGCTTTTATACTGATTTTCGGACGAAGTATTAATTTTTATGGTAACTACAATAAAAGTGAAAATTCATGACTCGAACTCTGAGAAAAAATAAATGAAACTTTCAAATATATTTAGCGCCATCTGTTGTAAATTATTGTAACAAAGTAAAGTTATTATTTTTAAATATAATTTATATATAAACAAATAATAATTTATGCTCTTTGATTTAATAGTCGATATTATGTTTTTTAGGAATACGCTGGAACCTTGCTTCACGAGTTTAATTCGTTTCAAAATTTCAGGAGTTTTACTTGTATAGTGAAACAGTGTTTCCCATATAAGCCAATGTAAAATACGATAATGCGTTCCATGCCGGATAAAAGTATAACTTCGTCCTGATTTTTAACGATTTTGCTTTTCATTGTTTGACTATTTATTCTCCACACGCAAGTGTTATTCAATTGTGCATAAATTACAATTAGCAAGCCTGAACACAAGTTTAGGAATATGTGTGATCATAAACTACACTAAGATTCAACTAAAATGACTACTGACACCAGGAACTGTTTTCCCATTCACACACGGTTAAGTGAATTTATATTTGTTTATATTAATTATATTAATCCGGCGTTTTACTGGAGGTCTCTTTTCTGTAATTAGTATTAAGAAATGAATAAACAATTATAATTAAGTTTAAAATTATTATTTATTTATAATATATATCATTTTCCTAACAAACATTATTCTTCCTTAAATTTATTTAAGAACTTTTTGATCTTAGCAATAATACCTACCAATTTTCTTGTTTCTTCCTTTGACGGCTTTCTTAACAAGTCTAAACATCTTTTCAGTCAACTTTTTCAGCTGTGTTGTTTGAAATATTTAAATGTAATCCGCGAATCAAAGTGTTTGATATTGAGGAAAAAACATCGATTTTTATATTGATTTTCGGAAGCAATATCAATCTTTATGGTAATTGCAATAAAAAGGAATTTGATGACTCGAAATCTTAGAAAGAATACGTGAAAGTTTAAATTATATTTGTTATAAATTATTTAAAGAAAGTCAGTTTGATTTTAAAGTTAATTAAACAAATACAAATTTATAGTTATTAATTTAGTAATCGATTTTGTAGTTTTATTACGAAAACATATAATTCCTGAAATTTAATAAAATCTTATTTCTGAAATTATTAATCAATTTTCTACTAATAATTCCATAATTAAAAATATATAAAAACATTTATGAAACTATTAATGAATTAATTTACAAAAATAATTTAAATAAAGAATTTTCTGTAGTTAGTATTAAGAAATGAATAAACAATTATAATTATGTTTAAAATTAATATTTATTTATAATATATTTCATGCTATTTACATCTATAATTTTTCTAACAAACATTATTGTTCTTTAGATTTGGATAAAAACTTTTTAATCTTAGCGATAATAGCTTCCAATTTCCCTGATTTCTCCTCATGTTGAATTTCCTTCTTCGCTGCATAATTTTTCCTGTTACTTCCTTTGATGGCTTTCTGCATCCTCCTCTGAGATACTTGAACCTTCTCATTTCGTAACAAGTCTAAACATCTTGTTTATTAATGTCAAACTATTTCAGTTGTGTTGTTTGAAATATTTAAATGTAATCCGCTTATCAAAGTGTTTGATGTTGAGGAAGAAATATCGGTTTTTATATTGATTTTCGGTAGCAATGTTAATCCTTATAGTAATTTCAATAAAAAGGAATTTGGTGACTCAAAATCTTAGAAAAATATATTTGTTATAAATTATTTTAAAAAAGTCAATTTCATTTTAAATGTAATTAAACAAATACAATTTTATACTTATTGATTTAGTAGTAGATTTTTTTATGAAAACATATAATTCCTGAAGTTTAATAAACTGAAATTATTAATCAATTTTCTACATTTTTCCATAATTAAAAATATAAATCAATATTTGTCATACCATTAATGAATAATTTTTCGAAAATAATTTAGATAAATAATTTTCTGTAATCAATATTAAGAAATGAATAAACAATTATAATTAAGTTTAAAATTAATATTTATTTATAATATATTTCATCCTATTTACATCTATAATTTTTTTAACAAACATTATTGTCCTTTAGATTTGGATAAAAACTTTTTGATCTTAGCAATGATAGCTTCCAGTTTCCCTGATTTCTTCTCATGCTGAATTTCATTCTTCGCTGCATATTTTTTCCTGTTACTTCCTTTGATGGCTTTCTGCATCCTCCTCGGATAAGCTTGGACAGTGCACCTTCTCATAGCGTAACATTCAATTCTAAACATCTTGTTTATCAAAGACAAACTTCTTCAGCTGCGTCTATTGAAATATTCAAATGTAATCTTCGAATGCTCGAATCGAACTGTTTGATGTTAGGGAAGAAACATCAGCTTTTATACTGATTTTCGGAGCTTTATGGTAACTGCAATAAAAGTGAAAGTAAACTTTAGCGCCATCTGTTGAACATTATTTAAAAAATGGAAATTTAAATTTTAATATAATTACACAAATACAATTTAATAATTAATTTTTAACACGTATTCATTTTAGTAAAACTTATAATAATTACTGAAAATTAAAAATTAAACCATGATTTGTTACTGTAGCCTATGTAAAATCACCCATTAAATTAATATCCATAAAACGCATTGTTTAACTTTTAATTATCTATTAAATTTCCGTTTAAAACAAACATAATTGTATTGTCTATTATTATTTTTAACCAGTAAATAATTAAGATCTTTGTTTCAAGAAAAAAATATACGAACTTAATGGAGAGGAAATACAAAACTACTAAATATTTGCAATAAAAGTTATTGGCTTTTCGGACGTTACGTTTAATATTTGGTGATTATGTAATGTCGGAGCGGAATTGCTGCGGCTTCTGTTTCCTAACGCTCCTCATTCACACTAACAGCGTTGCTAATTCGACGTTCCACTGTTTCTTCTATTAGAAACAACCTACTTCTGTTTATTACATTTTTTTGTTGTTATTATTATACGTTTATTTATATCATTTTATATGAGTTTTGCAAACAATTATCTTTCAAACTATTTTTCTAATCTACTAGTATATATTTTTTTATTTACAATTTGTTTTTATTAACGACTGAAAGTCTTTTTTGTCATATATTTTTATTTTTTGATAATTGATCTGTTAATTAAAGAACAAATGTTAAATTTTTAGAAATTAAATCGTTCATAATTGAGAAAATTTAAATTTGATTCACATTTTATTTTGCTTTATTTTTTCATTTTCTGTTTATTAAACCTTAGTTTGACAATAAACTTAAAATGTGCTAATTAATGTACATTAGGTTATATCAATTATTTAGTCTTTATTGTTCATTAAAAAGAAAACGTGTTAGTTGACTTCTTTTGTTTTAATTCGGTTTATTAATTTATGTGGAATAGATTTCTTAAGTAAAGAAGTTGTAATAGATTTTTATGTTTGCAGACAATTCCATTAAGAAAATTAAGTAATTAGCTGTGAGTATTAATGAAAGCTTTGCAAATCATTCAAGGGACGTCTAGGATTTAGTTTTTTTTGTTCATCAAATTATGCAAAGTTCGTTGGTTTCCGGGCGGAAGTTGTTTACGTCGTTGATTCTTAGTTTTTTTTTGATATATATTAAGACTTGCGGTGAAAGAATAGGATGGTGGACAGTAGATAAATTAGTGTTGATAATGTCGGTATTAATACGTATTTATTGCCTTCTGCGAGAGGCAAAGAAGAAAGGGTGGATTCATCTCCCCTAGGTTTCCCATCTCCTCGCCAATTTAATGAAGAAAAGATAGGTTAGGTTGAAGGGCAAGCGAAAGGTTCGGCTGATCCCGTCGAGGCAATGATAGTAATCACTTATCGGTGATGGTAACCTCTTCCTTTCTTCCGCGACGGAAAAGGACGACGACGTAGACGACGCAATTTTTTTTCAGTAAATAAAAAAATAGGGCTTCTGACGAGGTGCGCCGGCGTCGCGACGCTTCCGTCTCGTACACGGCACACGGTTTCGGCGTGTTTTCAGGCAGTCGCGTCCCGATCCGAGCACCTTCCGGACACTCTTCGTACCGCGATTCGCGTCTTTTCCACGTGAAAACTATTTATTAACGTGAGTTTTCCGCTGATATTTCCTTCACATTCTCCTGAAAGTTATCCGCGCTGTTCTTGTGCTGTTTGTGAGAACGTTTCTGTTTATGCTTCTGTGAATATTCCTGAAGAAATCTTCGGTGAGTTTTCATACATCCCGAAATTTTCACAATAACAAGAAACTTAGCACTCATTAGCCTTTCTTTATTTCAATATAACTTCTTTTTGATAAATAAAACAATGAAATGTAAAAAGTAATGAAATTTTGTCATAATTTCTTTTTCTACTTTTTTTATTAAAAATTTACTTGATATTACAATATGATTAAATTACTTTACTTTTTCAGTCATTTTCATATAACTTCTGTTACGTAATGTTAATTAACACTATTTCTTTTATTTTTCATTATACGAGAGAAGCAAAAATGAAAAGAAAAATAAAGCAAATTGCTAAAATCCAAATGAAACTTTTTAAGCCGAGATGTTATCGAATTAAAACGAAAACGTTCGCGTTAATCTTAAGCCGACGCGGATTGATCGAAAAGTTCTCTAATTATGTTTAAAAAAAATCTTAAGTGTATAAAGAAAATAATACGAGAAAAAAGAAAATATTCGATTGCGATGGAATATCTTGACAAAGATTAAGCACTGCATAATTATTAACTCTAAACGAAAACTTTTAATATTTAAAGTAATGAATAATAATATTTAATTAAAATATTAACCAACATATTTTTTTATACTTTTAAAATTTGTAAATTTGTGTGTTTTAATAATAATAATAATAATGTTTATTACATCAGTCATACAAAAAAACGTATACAGAAATAAAAAGAACAAAATAAATATATATAATTTCAAAAAAGTTAACTCTTACAAAGGGCTATTAACCATAGGTCTTTCTGCCCTAGTATGTTTTATTTTATTTATATTGAGGACGATTTTGCTAATATGTAAAATTTGAATGTCTTCTTTTATGACATGTTGTAAAAATATTTTTTTATTATTATTAATCAGACAATAACTGTAATGTCTTCTAGATATAAATGAAATATGTCATAGATTTGCAGGACAAAAAATTATTACAAGAAAAAATTGAAAACGAATCATTTTGATTGGCCTTTTTATGAGCGTATTTTTTTAAAATAATGAAAATATGGGGACAAAAAAAAATTGCATTGAAATTTAACAAAAGTAATTAATTTGTCAATTGGATTTCCGATGAAAATGTAATTTTTTTTATGTTGTTGTGTCAACGAAGAATAATGAATATAAAACAAAAATCAGGATGGAATTAAAATTTATTTGGTTGTAAAATGCATGTGTCATGGAAAAATAATGGATTTTTACGTACATTGTTCAGCATTTTCAATTAATGAAAAAAAAAATGCATTGGAAAAACAACGACACTTATTATAGAAATAACATTGACTTTCGTGATTGATAAAATTAATTTGTTTCATATACATATTTTATTTAAACAATTAAAAAAAATATTTTTGTTAAAAAATGTATACATTTCACTATTTCCAACATTATAATGAAAACTGATTTTAACTTTATTTATTTTTTAGAAGGCTATGAACCATAATTGTTATTGTCAACTGTCAAAAAAATGTAAAGTTGTTTTACAAATTGACATATCACAGCGAAATACTCTCGAAATACTCTTGTCAAATTGACAATTATGAAACGAATTATTAAGTTGATCAGGAAATCAACATCAATCATCATAACGTTGTTTATTTTACCACGTTACAAACGATATAAATATTGATTTATGATAACCTGTCTATTGCTTATGTCATTTATTACAAACATGATAAAGTTGATTATATAAATGACAAACGACAAACCAGTGTCAACTGTCAAAAAATAAATGTCAATTGCAAAAGTAAAATCATTAATTATGAAACGAATTATTAATTTAATAATTACGTCATTTTATAGTAATTTTTAAAGATATAAATATTGATTTATGATAACCTGTCAATTACAAATGCCAAATTGACAATTATGCACCGAATAAACAATTTTATCATTAAATATGTTATTTTAAAATAAACGTGAGAAAGTTGAGTATATAATTGACAAACAAGAAACCAATGTCAACTGTCAAAAAATAAATTGCAAACGTCAAACCAACAATTATGAAACAAATTATTAATTTGATCAGGAAATACGCCATTTTATAGTAATTTTCAAAGATATAAATATTGATTTATGATATCCTGTCAATTACAAATGTCAAATTGACAATTATGCAACGAATAAACAATTTCATCGTTAAATACCTTATTTTATATTAACCGTGAAAAAGTTGAGATAAAAATGCGTAATTCTACCAAAAATAATGTAGAACTGATGAAGAATAAAGAAAACGTTAACAATAAGAAGAAACTACGTAGTACCATAGAAAGTTCAATCATAAACACTATAAAACCGAAGATGCAGAAATAGAACGTTAGAAATAAGAACAACACGCGTAATTGCGTAAAAGTTCAAAGAAATTCTGAATATAATATTTCGAATTTGATAGAAAAGCAAAAGATTTAAAGTGAGATAATGAGAATTATAAAGTCGGATGAAATAGATTTGCTTGATGGATATATAGAGATTATTGATATAGGTGAGGATTAAACTAATAACCAGTCATATTTATAACCTGTCAATATTTCAAATTCCAAATGTCAAACCAACAATTAAGAAAGCAATTATTAATGTCATCAAATGATTCATTTCACAGTAAGTTTGAGAGATGTGAAATTGACAATTATGCAACGAATAAACAATCATTGATAAGCGTGAGAAGTTTGGACAACAACATTATAGAAGCGACTAAAAAGAAAGTATTCATTATAGAATTCAATTTGAGAAAACTATACAATTATTTCTTAAAAGTTTAAGAAAATTCTGAAAAGAAGTTCAAAATTCAAAAAAGAAAAGATCAAAAGTGAGAAATATAAAGTCGGATGAAATAGATTTCCTTGACCAATAACCAATAATATTTTTTTTTTCAAATTTTATAAATTATTTCTTATGTATACAATTTTGTGTAAATTTTATGTTTAATGTTATTGAAAGGAAGTGTCCAATATAGGCAACATTCGTTGTATTCCAATCAACATTTATATGTCAAACGTCAAAGTTATATAACAATAATTTACTCAAACCTATATGTACAAATCAAAAATATAAATAATTTTTCAACTTGAATTTTCTCATTTATTTTAACCTTAATCCGTTTTATTTAATAAATCCTTGATTATTATTTTAATAGCTAATAATTACGTAATCCAGGTAAGTTGAATTATTTTAATCTTAATCATATTTTTTTATTAAAATCTTGATTCTAGAGTTAATACAAACACTTTTGACATACGCTTGTTTTTTGTTCAATATTGAAGTTGTCACCTGTCATTTTAAATATTGACAGTTTTTGTAAATAAAGTTAGGATTTTACTACTTCATAGCTAATAATGCAAATAAGTTGATTATTTGTAGCTTAATCAATCAATTATTTTAATCTTTTTTTTTAAATAAAACTTTGAGTCTAATTTTAATAGAAACATTTATTCTATATGTTTGATTTTTTGCTATTCAATATTGACACCTGTCACCTGTTATTCCAAGTATTAACAGCTTTTGTAAATGAGGTTACAATTTTACGATTTCAGAGCTAATAATCACGTAATCAAAGCAAGTTGAATATTTCAAACGTTTATTGCGAAACAGGCATTTCTAGTATGTGCGATGTATCTTCTAATTAATAAACTTCCCGTACAAAAGTCTAAGCTGAAACTCGAAGTCTGAGACACAAATGAAACGTTATTTTCTTCTGGGTACAAAGGCACCAAGAAACGAGGGAAATCTGGATGCGTCGTTCCGTTGACGAAAAGTTTTCAGGCGTCGCGACACGCGCCTCGTTTGTCTTAAATAGAATTTGCTCCAGTTCAGTCAATCAGTGGTAAATGAGACGCCCACCATATCATAACTCGCAAATATTGACAACCTCTCAATCTATCAATTACGTAACAAATGTAATATCAACTAAAGTTGACTTTCATCAATAACATTCATCTCATTTTACAATAAGTAAAGTACTTACGAAATTGTCAACTAAACTAGATTTTAAACATTAATAACCTTGAGTTTATTAATTTGACTTACTATAGCAAAAGACTACCACGTAGGAATATTGACAAGCTGTCAATATGTAAATTTCAAATGTCATACCAACAATTATATAACGAATTAGTAATCCAATCATGAAATACTTTATTTTAAAGTAACTTTGGGAGATATAATTACTGATTTACAATACCATTACATAACAAAAAATATTGATAACCTGTCAATATGTCAAATTGACAAATAAACAATTTCATCATTAATTACCTTAATAATTGGTTGATATTAATATTGTCTTATCACTTATCCCAAGTAAGAACATTTACAAGCTGTCAATTTCAAATGTCAAATCAACTATTATGCAACGAATTATTAAGCTAATTATGAAATATTGACACCTGTCAATATTTCAATTGCAAATGTCAATTTTACAATTATGCAACCAAATATCAATATAATCATTAAATTCATAATTTTATAATGTGTTTAAGAGAAATGGAGAATTGACTAATAATTGACAAAAAACGTAACGATTTAATTGGACTTTTAGAGAGAGATATAAATATTGAATTATCAGAGAAATATTGACAGCTGTCAAATTGAAAATTATGCAAATAATTACAAATTTAATTGCACTTTCATTATTAATTCATTTTTCAATAAGTTAATTAAATTTCAGTTATTAATTAGTTAATTTTACAATTAGTAATAAACATATAATTATGTAATTATGAAATCTTGCATTGCAATTTTTGCAAACTATGAATGTTTTAAGATAATTAGTTTTTAATTAATAATTAGGTCAAAGTTTTAGCACGTGAACAGAGAGATAGATAGATATGAAGATTTAAATAATAATGAAGCGTTAATTAAGCTAACGATGACGTACGATGCGTATTGTGGATTCATTTCCGGGGATGTTTACGTGAAACATCTGGCATCGCTGCCAGATTTTCGCTATTGTTAATATAAATTAGTGCGATTTTAATTAAAAACCTCCACTCGTTCAT